TTACGTTTGATCGCAGTGATTTATACACATACCTATACCACCAATAAACTGACACTAAGGAGTGATGCTGGTGTCATATCGTTATGTTATTGATTCCATATACCAACTGCCCTATATAGATTGTAGTCTGGTGGGGGAAATCGTTGTGATTATGCATCTGTAGTCAGGACTGCTATTTTATTCTATGTACTTCTAAAACCCTTTCAGATAAGTTGGGGAAAAGGATGTTTAATTAAGTTAATTAAACAGCAAGAATAAGAAAAAAGATTTGCTTATTACGTGGAAACACATATTATTAAAATTTTCGCTACAGCCTTACGCTCTGCGTATCTCGCAGGAGTCGCACTTGAACTAAATTCGAATCGCCTTTCGTTAGAATTCAGATAACCGCTTATATGCGTCCGTAATACGTAATCGTAATTGACGCACATTATTCCCGTCAATCAAACCCATTATACCGGAGTGCGTGTCGCAGTGTGATCGAATAATGCTCTATTAACTGTTGCATTATTTCAATTGCCTATCGATGTTCCATTGAGTAAAAGGCTTTGTCGCTTCGCAAACACGTCATTACTTCTTTTAAATACCGAGCGAAACCTATATGAATTCTTCGCTAGCGATTCAAACAATATTCTTACAACCGATATTATGCTATTTTAAGTGATACATTTCAAATTTCAAACTATACACAGCTAAATAGCTGAACAGCTGAGGAATCGGCCGATATTCGTTTACTTAATTTTTCGTCCTCAATATGAAGCGGGTAAGTTAGAATAATATCGCTATAACCTACAACCTACAACAAAGTGACGTAAGGTAAAAAAAAGTAGCTGATAGTAGAATATATAATATAATAATAAATATTAATTTTCTGTAAGGTTACATCGATCAAGATTGCCTGCTACATAAAGTTAGTTCGGGATCATTTGCTTTATAGGTTATAGTAATCGTTTTTCACACAAAATCATTTTCTTTTTTTTTAAATTAAATAATAAGTAATAAAACAATTACGTGTTACTTGCTTCAATCCGATGCGTCGAAAGTATAAAGATGATATTCAGCTTTTCATGCAAGCATAGCCTTATACAAGCAGGAGCCTTAATAATAGAGAATGAAAAGCTGAATATCATTTTTATACCTTAACTTTCGAAGTATCTAATCCAAGCAAGTAATACGTAATTGTTGTAAATTGTAAACGATTACTATTACCTATAAAGCAAATGATCCCGAACTAAATTCATGACTTCATCGAGTATTTAAAAACACTCATGCAAGATCGAGTAATTTTATCAATATAATTTCCAATTCAAACTTACTTTCGATAGTTTTGTTGATTATTATGTTATTATAAAGTATTGCCTCATATTTTCCTAGATAAATAAAACAGTAACAATTATAAGGATGTGACGCATGGGCGGCATAGATGTGATTCTGTCAAGTATCAATGCATTTTTGTTTTGTCCACGTAAATGGAAAAGTTTGAATAGACGATGACTGGCTTGATAGCGGAATATTCAACGATAGTAGTTAATTTTATTTACAAATATAATCGCCGCATTTTAAGTCCCAAATTATATTTGAATAAAGGGCAAAATTTTTCCTATAATTACGTCAAGCAGCTTCTTATCTGATTATCGAAATCTCTATATATTAATTTCCAGAAAGATATGAAAAAAAATTGGTTAAGTCTGACTTAGGTTGAGCTATGGATAGTTCCATGCAAATTTAAATAGATTTTTCAGATTTTTAATGTAAACAGTGGAAACATCCTTATTTGAATGAATTTTTCTCAATTATTATTTGTCATTTAAACTTATCCCTTGATTAACAAGAAACGTAATAATATCAAAAAATTTAGCAGTACGTCCTCTGTTCCTTATTGCAAAGGAAACTGTAAAGCTTGTTAAGGGTCCCGGAAGTGGTAGGTATACAAACAGGTTGTTGACCTATCTGTGCCTTTTTAGTATTTGAAATTAGAATTATAATTACTTTCCGATTGTTGGCAAAGTTCGTTCTTGAGAATAGATGGTGTTTCTGAATTTGTTGCTGACAAACGAATTAGCAAAACTACAACTTTTTAAAAATGAGAAAATTATTATTCTTAATGTCTTCGAATATGACTTAGCTGGACAGTGAACAATATACAGACTTGTGCACGAGAATAAACGCGACCAGGCCATCAAATGAGGATGAAAAGACTGCCATCTGAAAATAATACACTGGGCAAATAATTTCTGAAATGAAAACACATGATTACATTCCACCAATGGGTAAGAAGAAATGTTTGAAAATATTAAAGCAAATTAATTTTCGTTACTAAAAGAATCAAAATCCACTTTAATAAAGAAAGTTTCAAATGGAAAACAGGAATCTATTCTATCAATCAATCTGGACGAAACTTTAAAAAGAAGGATATACCGAAGAAGGATATAATTTCCGCCATGTCATTGTTAATTAAATCCCATAGATTTGATATGGATTCATTTGTAAGTGTTCGGAAACTATCATCGCAATTTATCTGAACTCTACGATATAGCCTTTAAGTTGTTTACCCCTATTATTAAGAAACGTAGTATAATAAAATATATTTCACAAAAATATTTTTGTTTGTTTTTGCTTTTGAATTTTGTTTCCCTATTTCAGGAAAAAATGATCTGTTCAGGCTGCCGCGTGGGTTTGTATAAAACTGTCGAATATAATTTTGCCGGTCATTTGCAAATATAAAAATAAATAAATAAATAATCGCAGGCAATTCGAGACGTCAAACACGAAAACTTGACATCAAAGGGAGCGTTTTCTTTTCTACCGATAAAATTGAAATTTATGTGGGTCGAAATGACTTGACATTGTATTCGGAGAAGTAATTACGTGTTTAGAAATACTTAGAGAAATGTTAATACAGTTCGCCCCGCACAGCAGACTGTATGTATATAATTTACATGACTTTTATGTACACGATATTAATCACGGTACGAGGAAATTTCTTATAAATAAAACTTGATTTATTTTGCGACCCTGTTCGGTTTCCTGAAGTCGTTTGCTAATGTCCAAAGTGCGCAATATACTTAGGGGGGAATATTCCATTTACATATTACAGAAGTTCGTTCGGTTTATGCCGAGCCGAATAAAGGAAAATAATTAGTCCCTATACCACAAATTACTCCTGCAGAAAATTTAAACACGTGAAACGTCTTTAAAGCTAAACTCACCTTTTAGGAATATACTTACATTTGGTTTTGTCGATCGATTGTCTGCACGTTTTGTAAAATGTGTGAACGAAAACATTTTTGTGACCGTTTTTTACAAATATCCATGAGAAACCTTTTTGTTTGTCTGATCATGGTGGTCAAAGAAGACGTTGAGTATGAACTATGAACGATAATAATATATTACAACCTGTGGCGATTTTCAATTCAATTTTTCAGCAAAACTTACCGCCTTATTATTTAAAACAGTTAAAATCAATACAAAGTGATATAGCAAAAATTGCAATGAAAAAAAAATTGCAAAGTTTTTTGTTTCAAATTTGTTTAAATTTTATTTATTCATTACATCATTGTGACAATTCCTCATAATCATTTAGAGGTATTTTATACCCACCTGCTATATGTACAAATGCAAATATTGTGATTTACTGTTAATTTTTATAAAATTTATTTATTATATTCATTCAATAATTCATTCGTTCATTTATTATGGTTTGAAAGACCGAAAGCACGTTATACCACTCTAGGTCTCCTCTTGTATGTCTGGCGAAAAATTATTCCCATGAAAAGTAACAACAAAACAGTCTGCTTTTCTTGTAAATTTCTGAGTGATTTTAAATTGATTAACAATATGCTTCTTAATATGGTCCTCTCGGAGTTGCAAGATAATACCACCCAGCAGGTCTTTACGAGGGAATTAGAAGTCGCTTTGGTAATCAGTGGTGTAGCATGGAGCCCTTAGGTCTGAATTAAACACTTTTAACATCGCAAAAACGAGGGCATAAATATAATCGTTTGAAGTACAGATGGAGGAAACCCCCATGTTCGAATGTCGAGCAAAATCCGAAATTTACGTCGGCCGTTTCGGTAATTAAAACGTCCTACTTTGTTATTCGCTCTCGGGAGAAGCATGCTTACGCAATGTTTAATTAAAGGATTTGGCGGAAAGCATCTAAGAGAATATTAATTAAAAATTATTTACTTACAAAAAAGTGGGCATTTCTGGTGAGAGAAATTAATTTGCTCGCGATGTGATCGCCTTAATCGAGGGGGGTGATTTAGTAGGAACTCGCGTCTTTTTTGAATTCCAGTCAAATAAGGCCTATTTTAAATCTAATTTGTCCGATTTGAATAGACTAAATAATACGGCAGCATGGGTGTGAGAAAAATTAAAAGTATGAAAATTACGTTCAAAAATTGGTTATTAATAAATCCTATGCAAAATCCGTTGTGAAAAGCGTTCTCGTTAGCGAGAAATATAAAACTTCGGTCCTAATTTCTCTGGAGTACCGAGGAATTCAAGGACAATAATTGCTATGAGAAAACTCAAGATAAAAACGAATATTAAATATTAAAAAGTAATAAAACAAATTTTATAGAAGCGCAATATCAACGGCATCAAGCGATAACAAAATATTTCGCGAAAATGAAAATGAAAAAAATGAAAGTAGCCATTATAATTAATTTCTAATATTTTTCTTCTAATAGGCGCCTGGCTAACTAGATTATCAAGATTTGCACAAATATTCAATCAATTCAATAATTCAAGTCCCAAAGTAACGCCTTGCACTCCTAAAAATCAGTGTATGTATGCTAAGCAAATTAAAATATCCAGCTGTTATTGCTGACCACACATTGCAGTTAAAATATCGCTCGCAGCCGTTTATTTCAAATTCAATGAAATCTGATAAACATTGATTAAATGATTAACTGGTATGGATAGGTTTTTTCCCCTTGAAACTTTATCTTCAGACAACAACACGCGTGTCTGATTTTGATAACGAACTTTTCAAGCGAACATATACCCACGTAGGTTCCTTTGCTACGATTCAGTGTGTGGTTCTTGGCTCGATCTAAATGTTTGACTGTAAGTATTAGACGATCGAATTTGACAATAAACTGCCGTTTATTTCTAAAGATTAGTAACATTCGCTTTCGGCGTTCTGAACATTCCCTAGGTTTTGCCTAATATTGCGTTGAGATATTTCATATTTTTACCTAGATTCTTCATCGACTACTTCGCGGAATGTTCCAAAAACTCATCTTTTGTATAGTCTATTTTCGCAGTTTATATGCCCCGGTACTTTTTCCACCTTGCAGCAGGTTGTCACACCCCAACAGCCTAATATCGCAAACGTTAATTAAAATTCGATAAATTGTTTTCTTTGTATAGACGTTTCAAAGGTCAGAAACAAAAGTTTACACAAATGTTGTACAATACGACGACTATTGGTAAAACCAAAATACGGATACGGAAAGTTAGGCTCTAGCGAAACTGGCGAAAAAAAAGTTACGGACTAATTATTCCAATTGCAATGAAATAAAAAATCAATAAATAAACAACAACAAAATGAAGATATCTTAAAATAATTACTTTATGGTGTTTTATTCTTAAGGGTGTGATTACTTGAATGATTTTAAGAGATAAGGCTTATATCAATGTGAGTCCGCAATCACTTTATATTTGATATACATGGTGTTGAAAATATATAAAATATAAAAATATAAAATATATAAAACCTTATTTTCGTTGAAACTACTTTAGGTATTTTGTTGTTAGATGCATAGAAACAACATTCTTCTCGTTGTTTAATGCTAGTTTTTCGTATATCACAATGAATTTTACTAGCAAATATATCGTGACTTAGAAAAAGTAATTTGTTTTTGAGAAAAGCAATGGCGTACCATTTTTTTCCATTTCAACAAAATATCTATAGGAGTTTCAATGAAACACCTTGTATATCAAAAATAATAATTTTATGTAACATTCAATATATCGGTTGAAAGTACTTTTGTGTAGTTTAAAAAAAATGAAAATTAATAATTAATAATTAAAAAAATAATTTTTAAGTAGAGATGATTTCATTTCCAGGGAGGAAATTCAATAGCTAAAGTTACACAATATTTTACCTCTTCCGAAAATATACAATCTTTTTCTTCTTTCAATTAATAATGGAAGTTTGCGATAACATTGCACCTCCCTTCCTGACTTTTTCTTAACGACTGCACATCTTGTAGCTCTGTCAACTGATGTATCACAGCCAAGACATTTTTTTCCTTCCTATCCCACTCCGGGCATCAATCTTTATTTGATTCTCATTATATACCCCAGATATGCTGTTTTCGTTTTCTTAATTATTTGTGGACACGTGTCTCGAAAGCCTCCAATTTCTTAATGTTCATTCTTCCATACCGTACAAATCATAGTCGTACGTTAAGCTGAAAATCAAAGCAGGGAGTACTCTTCGGAATCTCAAGGACATTTTCAGTGCGACATTTTATTTTCTTTTCCTAAGTAAAATCTTCGAAATACCAGGTGCCTAAGGACTTGAATTTATCTACTCTTTCTATGCACATTGCGTCGAATGTTAAAGTGTAGTCGACAAACATATTTAGATTTCAGGATAAAATCACCAATTGAAATATACATTGTTTTAAATTTGCGATAAGCGCAACCAATTTCCATCACTGATAACAACGAGTAGACGTGATGTAATCCAAACTGCTACGTGAAACCAATTGTGAATTTTCTGGATAAAAATTGTTCGGGGATGTGATTTGTTCGTTTGCTGAATTCCGATTGGAATTTCGCAGCCGTTTCACCAAAGTATCACTCAGTGTGAATGTTGAATTTTGTTTGCAGGTTGCTTCAGGAAATGAAAATTTTGCTGTTATTTGCTGGGTTCGCGACCGCCTTCGCTCAGAACCAAAGTAATTGGTACCCATCTTACCACCTGGCTCCTCCCGGTGGTTGGATGAACGATCCCAACGGTCTCATTTATTTCGGGGATTACTATCATGCATTTTTCCAACACACACCCAACAGCACCGCGTCCGATGGTCTAAAACATTGGGGACACGCTAGAAGTCGCGACTTGGTGAACTGGGAACATCTTTCTGTAGCCCTCACGCCGTCAATACCACAAGACAGTGATGGATGTTTCTCGGGATCGGCAGTAGATAACAACGGCACCCTGACTCTCATTTATACCGGCCACTCTCTTACCAATGACAGTTATCATGAAGTTCAACTTTTAGCAACTTCCGATAATACGGTGGACTTCGATAAACAAGGCACCATTTTAGAGAGCGAGGACTACTTCAAGGATTTCCGTGATCCCAAAGTGTGGAAGGAAAACGACGACTGGTTTGTGATTCTGGGAACCAACAACAACTCCTACGGTCAAGTGGTCCTGTACAAGTCGCCAGACTTACAGCAATGGGAGTTCCAAGGAGTTCTAGCAGGCCCGCGCGAGAAGCTCGGCTACATGTGGGAGTGTCCAGACTTCTTTTCTCTGGACGGCAAGCAAGTTCTAACTTTCAGTCCTCAAGGTCTTGAAGCGAACGGTTACGACTACCTAAATTTGTACCAGACTGGTTACTTGGTTGGGAATTGGACCCCAGGTGCTGAGTTTGACATTGAAACGTCCTTTATAGAACTAGACAGGGGACATGACTTTTACGCGACGCAGAGTTTTTTGACGCCGGACGGTAGGAGAGTGTTGCTCGCATGGATGGACATGTGGGAGTCGCCATTTCCGGAAAGCGCCAACGGGTGGGTCGGTTCGATGACACTACCGCGCGAAATTTCTTTGAATGAGAATAACGAGATCATACAAAATCCTATCAGAGAAGTCGAATCTCTCAGAGCTCATATTTCCGTGAGCCTGAGCCAATTTAACGTCACTAATGACTCTGCAAGGAACATAGACTTCGACATTGCAACCAAAGAAGTAAACATCGTTTGGAATTTGACGGGAAGCGATGCCAGACAATTCGGTTTCCATCTGGGCGAAGAAAGTTCCGACGAAGGGACACTTCTGTATGTCGACAAGGATATCAACAGACTCGTTCTGCAGCGCAATTATCCAGCGTATAATCTGACAGCTTCTAACAGAACTGTGGATTTGTCGCCGTTCCCGAAGGAATCATTATCGACGAGGATATTTTTTGACCATTCTTCGATCGAGGTGTTCGTAAACGAAGGCGGAGCTACGATGAGCAGCAGGATCTATCCGGACGATAACCAAAGGACTCTACATTTGTTCGCCAGTCAAGGATCGGCTAGCATTAGTAGCTATCGAAGCTGGGATTTAAGTTAATTTTACTAGAAAATAATAACAATAAACTGGTTAAACAGAGTATTGTTTCTTCTTATTGCTTTGGTTGAAAATTTTCGAAAGACTTATAAGTACCTGTGATAATATTTCGACCTCCGCTGTAAATGCGTGAGCGCAGCTATAGCGTTGCCTTTGCATCATGATTTAGTAAAAATAATTGTGTCTCTGACGGATTTTGATAAATCTTTTATACGCCTTTAAACGGGTACACGTTTTTGTTTAAAATTGAAAATTTTGTTTTGAAAATTCAAACTTTAATCCAAAACTTGACGTGCTAAATTTATAATTGTATGTTTATATACGGTTTCGGCCCGAAATAATGTTTCAAATTCTTCGACAATTCATTCAATTTATGTGTCATAACTAGGGTTGTCGAATTGACCGATCTTTTTTTTGTGTCAGTTGATCAGTCAATTGATCAGTATCGTATTGGGATGTTCCTTGAAGAGGGTTATGCATAATAATTACGCATACTAATTTATTATAAAATAAGCATTATTAATAAATAATGATAGATAACGCTCTACAATTGCAAGATGTTATTTAAAACATTTTGACCGAATTTCACCAGTCAATTAAGAAGTAAGTGGTCAATTGATCACCACAAACTAAAATAAGGTAATCAGGACACAGCTTATTTGAAGTAACAAATCTTCAAAAAGACATTTTTTTAATCTAAATCATAACAGGAATATGTCGGTGTATTATTATTGAATTTTTTTAATATTGTGATATAATAAAATTCGTAATTATTATTATAATATTACTTTACTTTTCGTCAGTTTTAGAGTAACTAACTTAGGATAAACAGAACCAACCCCGAAACCACAAACCGCTGCTAATTGCCCTCTAATCTCTAAAACGCGTTTGCGCGTTTGTACCACTACAAATTTAAAAGGCAATAACAATATCATAATGCTTTTAAGTACAATAGTAAAAAAATACATTACTTTGGTCAATAGGCATGCATCCGAAGAAGCCTTCGGAGCCCAAAAGAATCAAAAAACTGATGGCAAAATTTTGTTTGGGATAAATAAAAATGCACTCTTGTTTAAAGTAAAAAAAGGGTTTGGAGTTATTTGAGGTTTTAGCAAGTAATAGAGACCGAATTAATAAATTATTTTATTAAAAATCCAAGTGTTCTAAATTCCATTTCCTTACCTTATATCCCCTCTTTTACAGATGCCTTAAAAAGGACATGTCTATTAACCAAATGAAACTTATTTTTTAATGTTTTATTTGTCCTAGAAACTAGATGAATGTTTTTTGAATGGTAATGTTCCCTTAGTCAAAAGTCAACTGGAAATGCAATATTTATACATGAAAAATGGCGTTTTATTTCGTTCGTTTTAACTGTACGCTTGAAATTTTCCGCGTAGTTCCTTATAGATTATTGTTTCAACGGCAACCGCAGGCAAGAGAAACCTTGCCATTTTGGCAATTTCTTTTATCGCAGTCTGACACTTCGATAAGCGGAAAACTTGCTGGGACGGTCGAGCTGCTGGCCCCTTTAGAACTTTATAATAATCAAACTTTACGTAATAAAACTTTGCAGTGTGGGAAGGCCGAAACAGAAACATTAACTTACCTTTGAGCAGAGCGGCGTAGATCAATATTGGGAAGAGCGAGCGCATTTTGCCGTGGATTTTTCACTCACTAAATTACAATCACTTCTCTCCTAAGTGGTCAGTGTCACTCAGCTATTTATCAGAGTCGGTTAGAAAACCATTACCGAGCGCACTGCGCTTTGCCGTTCGAACTTTCCAAGGATCTGCCTCGCCTGACTTGGAATGGAAGTGGCTCGATTAACTGAAAAACCAATAAAGTAAAATCTTTCTTGTAGCCTATCGATGAATTGTTGTAACCTAAACAGAAATAACAAAAGTTAAGGTCACCATTTTAGTATCTAAATGTCTTTACAAATGTTGTATTTTCTTTAATATTATCGTAGCGATATTGCACATATTCCATATATTTGATATTTTAAAATTTGGGCTTTTTCTGCACTCTACCATCAGAAAGACTTTTGAGCAGGAATAACAGAAATTAAAGCTATTTTAGGTATTAAAATCTGTTGAAAAAATATTATATTTTCTCCATTATTACTCATATTGCACATTTTAATTCATTCAATTTATTTTAAAATTGGCGCTTCAATGTGCCTTTTACAATGAAACGATTTTTTCAAAATATTTTTGAGCATGTTTTCAATACGACTCAATGCAAATAAATAAAAATGTATTTATGAGCACGTAAAAAGGATCTGCCTCAAATATCTCCTGCCGAAGTTGTGAAATAACTTTTATTTTTAAAATAATACGAAAAATATGCATCGAAAATGTCTGCGTCCGGGCAATTTATTAGAAAGTACAACTAAAAATTTAGAATATTTTATAATTTTTAATTTAATATTTTATAATTTTAGACACTATTACTTCATAGAAATCAAAATTATTATCTTTTTTAGAACTTTAGCGTCGTTAGCGTTGGTAAGATTTTTTTCAATGGAAGTATGTAATTTTTAACTTTTTAACTATCTCCATACTTCTATCCTTGTCCCAATTTTTGTAAATTTTTGTCTAATTTTTGCCGTTCGAGCAATGATTTTAAGAGGATGATAACTTTTTCCCTTGATAATATGGTGGAGAGCTTTCTGCCAGTTCTATATTATAGCAACAAATCCTTTTACTTGGACCCATATAATAATTTATATTTCAATAAAAGGTGTTCCTTTATAGCCAATAGTTCTAATTTTATCTTATTTTCTTCAATTTTAATACATCTTGCTGGTAATCAGGTCAATTATCTCTTGCTTTGTTAACTGATAAATAAGAATTATCACAGCTTCATTTCGTCGGAAATAATATTGTCATTACTGTTGACACTAACTAGACATGCCAAAATTTGAAGTATTTATCTGTGTTGATTTTGGCCAGTTTATACAGTTATATTGGTTCATTTTCGACGGACGCCTATGGATGACCCGCCGATTTGGTCGTGCCTAATGGAATCCCTTTGTATCTCTGCACCATTTTGAAACAGAAGTGTGGACCAAGTTATCTAGAAAATCGATTTATATAACTACGACAGAAAGTTATTTCTCCGCTTCCATATAACTACACTTTAAGATTTTTTTTAAATTTCAGGGTTGTGGCAACGATATTTATACGTACACTTCTTCTGGATTTCTCCTCGGTAGATTATTGACTTTATCTCGCTGAAGTTTCGCCAATCAAATAGCAGTTAAGTTAAGAAATATCAAAATGGTGAAAAAGTCATCAAAAACAGTAAAAAAAGTAAGATAGATTGACGATACAGTTAGAACAACAAAGAGTGATCTGTGACATAGTAACCTTATGTACAGATTTCTAAGGTTAAGTCTTTAAACTTAAATTTTCCGAAGAAATTCGCATCTAACACTGGATTATTACAATGTAAAAACGCAACGATACGTTAATGGAATTATATCGATATAAGCCTTTGCGTGTCGCGCCGGCAGGCACAGAAAAATAAAATAAGGCGGCAAATATAATAATAAAGGGCTTTTTATTTTAAGGTTAACTACCGGTAAACATGCATTTAACAAAGGAACTTCGCGCTCGCGATAATTTTCCCTTTTGACCCCTTCACTTCTTTATTGTCTCGCTCGGAGAAAAAGCGGACTCCTTGACAAACCTCGTTAGAACGCATTTTTAACCGGAACGTCAAACACAAAAGTCCGGCAAATAAAAGGCCGGCGTTTTTTCATTGCGAAAATCCGACCGGGGGAAATTGTTTCCAAGATGATCCCAATTTACGTGCCGCTACGTGGAAAAACTGATATTTCAACTGGAATTTTAAATTCGGCGGGAACGACGACGTGAAAGGGGGCTCGTGCGGTACGAAAATAAAATATACCGGGGGTTTTTTCATTGTTAAAAATTAAGCTGTCACTCAGAAAAATGGAAACGTAGCGCTTCGCGAGCAATAGAAAATTACGGCAATAAAATTTAAAACTTGGTTTGCCAAATAATGGGTGTTTTTTTTTCGATGTATAGAACATTAAGTTGGCATTACTGTTCAAGATCAGTTTGGTTTGGCAATTCATCATGAATAGACTCACGCCTGAACAACGCTTGCAAATAGTGCAATTTTATTTCGAAAATAATGGTTGTGTGCGGAATATGTATCGCGCACTACGTCCATTTTATCATCGACAAAATCGTCCATCAGAGCAGTTAATTCGATTAACCATGGAACGTTTTCGCACCACGTTTACTCTTATTGATAACTCGCATCTCCAGAGACGCCGTACGGTGCGTACAGAAGAAGCTATTGCTGCTGTAGAGCGTAGCATTGAGGAAGTCCCGAATGGGTCCATCCGCCATCGAGCAAAGGAATTGGATCTGTGTCCATCCACTTTATGGAAGATTTTGCGGAAGGATATTGGTTTACGTGATTACAAAATCCAACTCGTGCAAGAATTCAAGCCAAACGATCATCAAGTAAGGCGTAGATTCGTCGAATGGGCCCAAAACGAGATTGCCGTTGTTCCCGATTTTCATAAGCGAATTTTGTTTAGCGATGAAGCGTACTTCTGGTTGAATGGTTACTTCAACAAACAAAACTGCCGCATTTGGAGCGAAGCTAGTCCTCAAGTGTATGTCGAAACACCGTTACATCCAGAAAAACTGACTGTTTGGTGCGCTTTATGGGCTGGTAGAATCATTGGTCCGTACTTCTTCAAAAACGATGATGGCCAGAACGTTACAGTCAATGGTGATCGATATAGAGGTATGATTACTCTTTCATTCCTGAATTGAATAACCATGATGTTCAGGAGATGTGGTTTCAACAAGACACACAGCTCGTGCCACAATCGATTTATTGAAAGATGCGTTTGGTGACCGCCTTCACGTTTTGTACCTGTGAATTGGCCTCCAAGATGTTGTGATTTAACACCGCTAGATTACTTTCTGTGGGGCTATGTAAAGTCATTGGTCTATGCGGAGAAGTCACAAACGCTTGACCATTTGGAAGACAACATTCGCCGTGTTATTGCCGATATACGGCCACAAATGTTGGAAAAAGTCATGGAAAATTGTACGGCCAGATTGGACTACATCCGCGCTAGCCGTGGCGGTCATATGCCAGAAATCATATTTAAAATGTAATGCCACAAGGTTATAAATAAAATTCATGTCAATCGAATAATCCATCGTTGTTCTATTGCAACTTAAAGTTCTATACATCGAAAAAAAACACCCCTTATAAGGGTGGAAATAGTCGAATTAAATTTTCATTTTTCTAGTTTGACAACCTTGCTATTAGCAAAAATTACCTAAAATCCAAGCTCAGGTTCAAATTTAAAGATCCTCGTGCAATGTATTTTGCCTTTTTTTAACATTTTCAAATTTGTTTATGTCTAACAAATGTCTGTAGAAATTATGAACTCATATACCGGACGTTAAAATAGGGCCATTTAAAATATCTTACCTTAGTATTTTATGTACAGCGCGGGCCAAATTTTATATTTTTAAAGGCAAACTCGTAGATGAAAACTAATGTCGGTGTCTGGAACTCGATTTACATAAAAAACATTTTTAGGTTACCGTGTCAGGGTGATTTTCGATAATGTCAATTTTAAAATCTTCCAGAACTGTTTGTTTTCTTTCAGAATATTGGTTTTACTACACATTGCTTTCTGTTTCTGCATTCTTCTTAGGTTTTTTTCAAACAAATTAATAAACCAAAACTCGTCACACTAGCAAACGAATTCACAATTTGGCAGCTACCACATTGATTTCCTGAACACGGCCATACGTCCTCCAAAGCCTACTTCTTTCAAAGTTCTTTTTGATGATTTCAAAATACAATAAAATAAAAAATATAATATAAAAACTTTTTTTCTGTTTATCCATGTCTGTTAAAATGTTACTTAAAAAAATGTTATATATTAAAACCAGTTCCACGTTCGCAGAGATAGACTACAGTAACAATAGTGAAAATAGTGAAAAAGTTACAGCGTAATGTTCATTGTGCCATTGTATTTGTTGATTATTGATTTGATGGATTTTGCTTTAAAGAAAACTCGTGGAAGTAAAAAATACTCTATAGTTCTTATATGTCTTTCTATTATTCAATATTATTTTGAATTAATAGTGAATCGGGTTGCGTTCTATTAGTATTCTGCCTACACTCGTTGGGACTCTGAAGAAAATCATGGATAAGCAAATAAGTGCATTTCTCAATATTTACAATATTTAGCGCCCGAAACAATTGGGTTTTAGATCTGGTTATAGTTGTGAAAACTCATTTGCAGATGTAATAGATATTTTTAAGGCTTGTAGTGATAATAAAATTACTGCCTTGATTTTAACTGATATTTCAAACCATAGTAAGATAAATGATGAAATCCACAATTCAATTATTCATCACATACGACTCAGTAAATTTTCTTGTAAATTCCAAGCATCCAAGCATAACAAAACACGGAAAGTAAAACTTAAATAATACACCTGTAGATTGTTAACAAGGGAGTACTGGGGTACTACTAAAATGGTAGGGGTAGTATTTTAGGTCCACTTCTGTTGTCGATTATTAAATCCAGGTTTACAATATCATCATGAACTGTTCTTTTCCTAAGAAAGAGATAAGCAACAGTATTAATTCTGATTTGAATAGATTTTGTGATTCTGTGACTATAGGTATCGAATTGATAATTTTATAAGCAAAGTAAAATTCGCTATAAACTCTGCTTTGCCTTTTTGTACACGCAAGTTAGAGGTTGCATACACTAATCTAAAATTAATTAATACAAGTTGTCACTG